AAGTTTCCTGAGTGCTATCAAACTGACAGCAAAATTGATGTTTGAATATGCAATGTGTAACATCTCGGTTTTTAATTCCTTGATTTACTACACTTAATTAGGATAATTAAGTAAGTTGACGTGGTGTGTGGTCAGAGGAGAATAATAAGTGTTTTTAGTTGGAATTTCAGGTATAATTTGAGTCTAAAGTGAAATTAGGTTACTGGGGCACCAAAAAGTGGAGAAAAACAAGTTAGAAAGCCTTTATGCCATATACTGCGGCATGTGCGTGGTGCGCCATGGTGCACAGGGCCATAAAATGAGAGCTGCCTTTTCTGTACCACAAGCTGCAATATGTGGGGACAGGCACCGTGGTGCATGGTGTGAATTCTGCAAAAATAAATCATGGTACATTGCAAAAAATAAAAGGGAAGAAAAGGAAAAATGAAAGAGACTCATTTTTGCTCTATTAGGGCACGATCTAGGAAAGGATTTGAGAAAGTTTGAAGCTTCAAATCATTCAAGGTTAGATTACTAAACCCTTTTTCTCCTTTTCTCTTCCATTTTCTTAAGGATTTGAGTTAAGGTTTGGATGAGGATGGTGATTTTGATCCATATAGGTTATAGGTCCAAATCCATTGACTCAAATGGAGTTAATGAGAGTTGTTTAAAGTATTTAAACCTAGTATTAATGATTTTGTGGGTGTTGGATGATGAGCTCCATTAATATCCAAAAATCGATATTAAATCTGTCATTATTATGATTGTTAAGGTATTAATGCAATGTGGGTATTCAATGAAGCTATATGATGCCATAGATACATAATAAACCCAATGGGTAGACCCATATGTAAGCAATATGGGCATTGGGTAATCTAAAAAGGGAATATTAGAGTTGGAATGTGTGAGATTGGCAATGTTAAATGAAAGTTAATTTGGTAAATTGTAGACTAAGCTCTTAGACACTTATTTAGCTTGGGAATTCAAGCTTGAAAGCTATTATATTGAAGGGTAAACCTTTAATCTCTCAAAGGTTTAAAATAACTAGAGGAACCCTACTTTGGGTAGTTATATGTTAATTGATTGTTAATTGATTGCTAATTGTAAATTGTGATTTTTGCATGCATGGATTGATTTTCAACGTGAAAGTATGTATTAGCTTCAATAAGTGCATGAAAATTTGAATGTGCTTAATGCTATTTTTGGCTTGAAATGCAAAATGTGAAAACAAGGTGGTTTTGAAATATGAAAATGCATATGTCTTTGAAAAGATAAATGTGATGTTGTGTTGAGGTAAATGTGTGTTAATGAAGAAATGGATTAGTGTGATAAATAAGGAGATTGTGACGAAATGTTATTAGATGCTCCCTTAGGTAGCGCATAATCGTGAACGCAATGTGTGAATGTGATAAATAATACATGAAAATGTAAAAATGAGTAAGTATCATTTATGGCATGATTAGTGGGCGGGAGTTCGCGCTAGGGATTAGGAGTAGAGAAAAATCTATATGATATTTAGGCTATTCTCCGATGTACGAGAGTATAGCCTTGTCCTACAATTTGTCGAGAGACTATCCCATAATTTGACGAGGGACTATAACCTAGCTTTCTCCACTAGTTCAACGAGGAGAATAGCCTAGGGTATGAGACACCTCAGAGATTTAAGAATAGGGGAAGCCGTAGTCTGAGAGTGAGTTATGTGATCTTTGGCCAGGTCACACCTCATGATTGGTGAGTTTAGGTAGTCCAGTTACACAAACGGAGAGTATTATAGCTTATGGTTTCAATCTGAGAAAATAAGGAAGGTATAAGGTTGGATGATCATTGCCTATATAAATATATGACGTGTCACACGTGTTGAGTTATGGCAAGTTATGTGAATAATGGGTTATGGTTACATACCTACAAATAATATGACAATGCATCTAGTGTGAGTGAGATAAATATGTTATAAAATGAGCAATGATGAATTATGATGTGTGTGAGCATGTTTTAAGTACTTGGTTTCATATGCAAGTGCTTGGTTTATAATTGATATATAACTGCATAGGGTAGGTTTTACCTTAATTACTGAAGGGCTAGACTCACCCCTTTCATTTAACACTTTTCAAGGTCTAACTCTAGTGCAGAGAGGGAGAAGGCTTAAGAGACTAAGAATTAATACATTCCTATTGTATGCCTCTAGCTTAGTTTTACTTTGTGTAATATTATATGATTTCCAATTCTAGGTTACATGTAATTACACTTGCACTATTTTGTTGTTACAAATGTCTAATTTGTATTTTGGGCCCTAAGTAATTGTATATGGTGAGATATATATATTTCTAGGGCCAAAATATTAATGTAAGTATAGAAATAATAATTTAAACATGTTTTGTTTGGTTTGGGTGCAATACAATGAAAATTGGCCTCTCCTTTTGTTTTTGGTAAAAAGGAGTTGAGGAGTGAATTTATGTTATACTATTGTGTAAGTGTGTGTGACATGTTGTACTGATAGTCTTAAGTCTAATAGACATGGTCTAGGTGTTAGGAAAGGCTTTTGGCACTTGTTAAGGGTTTTGGACGCTATTTTTGTGTGAAAGTTGTGAAAAGTGGTTAAAATATGTTTGGAGTATCCAAATTCTTAGTGTGACTTGTTTTGAAAGTGAAGTCCATGCCATTAGTTAGTTCATGAAAAGAGTTTTTCATAAACACCTAAATCACGTCATTCGAATGTTGGATGGAGAATCAGAATACATCAAAAGTTTACTAATTCTACTGTCGAATGATAGTAGAGTTTGCTGATATTTCGTGCAATACATTGCAATACATGGTGCCTAAGTCACAGTGTAAGGCACAGAGAACAACATGTCGCAGTACAGCGTGCACAAGAGTTGTTTTTCTACTATTTTTGATATCTTTTACTTTTCAGATGTGTCCTATACTTTCGTAACTTAATTTTACTTTAATATAAGAGTTTATGATTGTTTTAAACTTATTTTGATTATAAAAACTTAGGATCCTTTGATTTTGAACGAAAACTTGGTAATCACTTTTAAATGTTAACCTTTGGATTACCATGAGTTTTATTGGTTAAACTGTGGTTGGTAGGAGACACACTACAGCACATCTCTCATTTCTTGGGCTAGTCGATTTTTCAATTGTTTTTTAGCACTTTAAAAACATAGGTAGTGTCCCACTTTTCTATGACTCTTTTAAATGATTGGATGGATATGATGAAGCTTCTTATATCTTATTTTTATACTAAAAACTTGGGGTTCCAAATTTTGAAATTAAATATATTTGGATTTGAACATGGGTTGAAAGTATTTAACTATAGTTGTGTAACCCATTTAGGGTTAATTCTATTGTAACTAGAAAAATTACGGTTAAGTGTTGGATTAATAAGGATGACCTTACAAAAAATCTTGTCTTACTTGTATTTTCTTTAGTAGTACAATTGACAAAATAATTTGGATTCTATTAAATAAGTTATGTTAATTTTTTTTTGTAGCAAGGATGGATCATTTGAAGAACTAGATGTAATTACTAGGCAAGGATTAGATATATATGTAATTGAGCATGGACTTCTTGGACAAAAGCTAGTTACAAAAGAGAACTTTTACAATATATAATTTATTGCTTTATAATTACAATAATTTGTAGGGATGAAATGTATAGAAAAATCATCCATGAGATGTAATAGCTTATATTAGATATCAACTTATGTTTTGCTACCATGTACCAACTTATTGTATAACAATAAATGAATTTTTGAATGCAATCTATTGCTTAAAGTTGCCATATTCGAATAGCTTGTATTATCTTGCTTATAAGTATGGTGTTATTCTACTATACATTTGAAATATCCTGAAAATACAATTTAGAGAGTGACAATCATGAGAATGTGGAAGAAAATGACATTAGACCTCTTTATTTTTACAATATCTAGATTTTTGTATTATCTTGTTGTAATTTAATATAGTTTATATTATCAATGGATATAAAAACATGCTATTATTTAATAATAAATGTAATTTATTGGTAACTAATTATTGTTCTTTATATTTCAAGTTGGTGTGATTAAGCTTTATATATAACAATAGTGACTATTAAGAATATTTTTTGGTGTTTTCACAAAAAATAAGCAAATTTTCAAAACATTAATTTACGTTTTTAAAATATGCATTTGTGATATTTTAAAAACACTATTAATGCAAGATTTAAATTCTAAGTTCTAAGTCATATTTAAATATGTATTTTGGATACCTTTAAAATGTAATTTTCCTTTCATTTATTCGAGTAACTATTTTAAATATTTAAATATCACTTCAAGGAATTGCAAATAGGTTTCGATTTATTTAAATATGCAAAATTATTGAATATATGGAAGAAATTTACATTTCATTGAAAATCAATCACATATAAATAACAAAAGTTGCATATGCTTTTAAAGATATCCATAAGAGAAATTAATAATTGATATTTGAATATACAAAATTGTTATTCGAATATGTGAAAGAAATTTACATTTCATTGAAGATCAGTTACATATTAAGGAAGAAAGATTATATATGCTTCCAAAAATATCTGTAAGAGAAATTAATAAGTAATATTTGAATATACAAAATTGTTATTCAAATATGTGAAAGGAATTTGCATTTCATTAAAGATCAGTCACATATTAAAAAAAAAATTTGTATATGCTTTTAAAAATATCCATAAGAAAAATTAATTAGTGATATTTGAATAAACAAAAGTATTATTCAAATAAATAGAGATTTTTTTGTATAGAATTAAAGTTCTCATGTGTATAGTGAAAAAATTGCTACATATGATTCTAAAATACTTTTAAGTTAAAAATTTTTAAAATACTAAAAGATGTTATTTAAATAAATAAACATTTTCTTATATATATTTAAAATTCAAATGCTCACAGTGAAATAATCACTTTACATATGATTAAAAACCCTTGCTTCTCATATTTTAAAATGCTTTTTAAGTTAAAAATTTTTAAAATATAAAAAAAAATATTATTTGAATAATTGAAAGTTTTCTCGCATATAACGATGCTCAAATGCAAAGAGAGGGAGACAAAGATCAATTTGTCGACCGAGGTTCATCGTCGTACCGCTTGTGTCCGCACGATGGGGTTCTACTTCGCTAGTGAGGGCTATAGCTTCTGCTGCAGCTTTGGCATCTTGCCATTAGCGCAAAACTTTGAGTGAATTGAGAAAGATAGAGGAAACCTTACAGATCTGCCGCCGCCATTTTCAGATCTTCCATCGCCATTTTCAAATCTGCGAATTTCCACATTTCAGTCCACCATCCTCGGCTTTCAGATGTTTATCTCTGTCTGGAATAAATGCAATTCGCGAAGGTTGCTCTTGAGAGTATTGGAAGGGAACAAGCCTAAAAGTGAGAATGAGCGAGAGTGAGAAGAGTGGAGAGAGAAGGGGTAAGCGCAGGTGTCTACACGGAGCAACGATGGAACCCCTACCAGAAGGAAGGAGCGGGTCTTTCAAAAGAGGAGGGAGATTTAATAGGGAAGAATGTAAAGAAAATGCAAGAACTGCAACCATCCGGGGGGGGGGTGGGTAGCCCCATGGAAGATGCTGAAAAAGTTAAAGGCGTATCAGAAAAGGAGAACACTGGAACAAAGAACTAGGGAACATGGCGAACCCCAATCTCGTATAAGGAGAAATTGATGGGGGCAGAGGAAACGCAATATACTACAGATTTTGACGAAGACTAGAAAGAATGGATGAAGGAGGAAAAGGAGGATATGCTTGTACCTAATGAGAGGACCAGAAGAAGATTATGGAGAGCCTACCAACGATTAGTATGTCAGATGATAGATTAAACAGTCTGTACATACCATTGAGGATGCCATTGTCTTTACCCTTCTAGGAAAAAGTATGATTCTCAAGGTGATGAGAGATAGGGTGATTTGGATGTTGAAGACATAATTTTGAACTGATTGATTTGCCAAACAACTATTTTGCTTTCAGGTTAGAAGATTTATCTCTGTTGGAAGAAAAATGACTATTTGTCTTTGAATGGCTTTGGTACGGTCAACAAAGAGTAGTTTGATTATTTTGTCTTTGAATAGATATATTGTTGGATTTATTTTTTTATTCTAAAATCTCAGCCCATTAATATTTTTTGATATTGAGTTTTGCATTTGGAAATATAGAAGAACAAGTTTATATGTTTCTCTCCAGTTCCATGAGCAATACCTATGTGATTTTTGCCGGTTTTTCTTATTATTATTATTTTTTTTTAGGTTTAATGAATGGATATGACTCGATTGATACTATTTTAGTAGTTGATGTTACTCTTATGGACTTATGGAGGAGAATGACCATGCGCTATATAGTCTATAATTAAAAGTTGTTTTTATGTTATGTGTCATTGAATTATGTCACATGGTGATATGGGAAATTATTTTGTTTTCAGTAGGTGTTTTTACTATAAGATACGTAATCTAGATCTTATTTTCGTCATTCTTCTATTCCAATTTTCTTGGAATTTTTTCGGGTGTTTAATAATTAGATTTCTTTTTTTTTTTTCTTGGAAGCAATATGTTTGGTAGGGATGGTCAAAATTGGTTTACTTTCATTGTTGGAAAAAAGCATGAATACATATTATAAAAATGAAATGATTAATTTGGCCAAGCACATTCAATTTTTAACCTGCAAATAACCCATGTTTGCAGGCTTTGGTTTTGGTCAGGATTCAAGCGGCTTCAAATAATTTACATTCAGACGTGTGGGAAGTCGAGCTGAGAATACTTGTGTATTTATTAATAGATCTTTGTCACAATAGACATTTCTTTGCACTTTTTTTTTTTTTGTAAATAGTTTACATTTATATATGCTTGAATAATTTGGAGTTGTAAATAACTTTTGTAGTAGTGATTATATTGTTACTGGGAAATAATGTTGGATTTTGAAATTGATTCAATGTATATGAGATGCTTTTGAAATTTTATTGCTAATTTGTTGCTAGAACCTATTTTTGTAGTGTATAATGTAGAGGGCTGCTAGAAATGTAGCCCCTATATTTAAAAAAAAAAAAACACAAATATATAGTGGTTATTTGGAAATGCCAGTTAGATGGTTCAATCTTTAGACTATATAGCGATTATTTCAAAATAATTGCTATATATACTCCCAATTAAATAATTGTTACATATACCCCCAATATATAGTAGTTATTTTAAAATAACCGCTATATATACCCCAATAAAATAACCGCTATATATTGCTAATATACCCCAAATATATAGTGGTTAAAAACTGCTATATATAAACAAAAATAACTGTTATATATACATTTTTTTTGTAGTTGTGGTGGGATAAATTCAAGGAAGGTATGGGTAAGAACATCTATAATGGGATAAATACTTCCTTCTGGTTCAAAAATTGGTCAGAAATGAGTGTGTCACTCTTGGAACTTATAACAAGTAGGGAAGGCTTGGTTGACAAAGATGAATTCGTAGCTGATTTTGTGGGTCAAAGAGGAAAATGGGATACTTTCAAATTAGGATGCTAATTCCATCCTAATATAATTGCTCGGTTGACTAGTGCTCATTCACGGAGAGAGGAGAGGATAAATACTTTTGGAAGCTTGCTACTAACGACTTTTTTATCGTTAAATCTGCTTACAATTTTATAGATGCAGGTACTCGAAGGAATGAAGATAACATTTGGAAGATTCTTTGGCGGTGGCCTATTGCAGAGAAAATCAAATCTTTCATGTGGTTTTTCTCACATGGACGTACACACTCAATGGCACTACGCAGCAGCAGGGGTCTTAGAATATAGCAAAATTGTGCTTTTCGGACGCAACACGTTGGAAGATGACATGCTCCTAATCAGAGAGTACCCTAATGTGATAGAACGTTGGAGGGCAGTGTTGAAAAGCGAGCACCTGAACTTTTTTCTCAACCTTCGAGGCGCCGAATGGGTAAAATGGAATTTAATACATGATATTGGCAAAGATTACACTAGGAAGCTCCCTTGGAATATTCTATTTGGGTATTTGTTGGGATATATGGATCTCTAGATGTAGGAAAGCCTTTGATTATGATACTCACGAAGACAGAACTAATGCTCGAAACTTTTTCTTTCATGTTGTTGCTGATTTTGTTTTAATTAGAAAGGCTGCTACTTTGTGCTATGAGCGAAATAGTAGTCGGGAAAAAGTTTATCAGAAGTGTATGTCAAACTTGAAGTGGATGGTATAGTGAGTACGAATGGCACTTTGTGTTGTGGAGGAATAATTTTGGATGTGAATGGAAAATGGGAAAGGGGCTTTTGTTGTAAGTTATTATCTATTCTTCTAGCCATTGCAGAAATTCTTTCTATTTATCATGGTCTCAACTTGTGTTGGAATTTTGGGCTCAGGAATATTCAGATCTTTTCATATTGCATTGAAGCCATCAACATAACAAGAAGGGGATGCAATGACAATTACCCTTTCAAGCACATTATTGCTGATACTAGGATGCTGTTATGTAAAGGCTGAAATGTTACGTTCTCTCATCTTTTCAAGGAGGAAATATTTAGGCTGATAGATTAGCTAAATTTTCTTACATGTTTGATAGTAATTTTTATATCTTTGATCATCCTCTAACACTTCTACAAGATTTGGGGAATGATGAGGGATCCCCCTATTGTTGAACATGATATATTGCAAGCTATTTAAATTTTAATTCATGCTTTCAGTTTCTATTAAAAAAAAGTTTAAATGTATATAGTAGAAGAATCATTGCCTAGGACTAAAGATTCTTGTTTCTAGCATTCCAAATTATTGATAGCGAATGACCTTGTGACATATTAACATTGAAGAACCTTATATTAAGTGTTGACATGAAATTATTGATAGCAAAGGACCTTGTGTGAAATATTGACAGCGAAGGACTTTATTTATGTCATTTAGCCCTCAGCAATTAATGCCAACAAAGGACCCATTTTCAGTATTTGTCCCAACTCCTTAGCAAATAAATTTGTGGTGATTTTTCTTTTTGGGAGCAATTTTCTCTTTTTTTTACCATATTTACTTAAAGAAAAATAAATTAAAAATTTTGAATTCGGTGACTGTATTTAGTACAGGCACTGAGTGCTTGTATCATTTGAGTCGTTGAAATTTATATAAATAATTTAGATACACTTACTCAATTATTAATTTTAAATGGAGTAAGAATTTAGAATTATTAATTTAAATTTCAATGGTTGAGATGATATAGGCACTGAGGGCATGATAGTCACTAAATTTAAATTCATAAATTATGTGTAATTTTTCATACAGTGACATAGGACAGCGACCACTTGGTTTCAGGTCAAGAAGCGAGAGTGCACTTTTTTATTGAAATTAATTTCCATGCTCACTCTTGCGTACCTGCCTCTCTCAATAGTAGCTCACTGATTTGCTAGTGCCAAAATGTGTATGTCAACCTTGAGTGATTTCCCCATCATATTCTCAATATCCCACATAAATGTAGGCTTTGAATAGGTTCATAGCCTATTTAAAGCATACATGAATGCCAGGTTTGTGGTCCTTTTGTTTCGTTCTAGTGATTGGGGTTGGCTGTGGGCGCGGATGATTTTCAATCGACTCACTATAAGACTGGTTTGGTTTTGTTCTTCGTGTTGGTATCACGGAATTGCTTTAGAACAACCTTCGCCAGGGTTCCTTACGCAGTCCCGTTATCTTCATGCGCGCCGCTTGTAGACACTTAGAAGCTTCTACCAAAACTTTTTCTTCATTAACTGCATTAATTTGCAAGTGTCATCTTGATATGCCATTTTACAAGCATAAGATATGGTATAGCTGGTATTTTAATAAAAAACCATGTGTTAACCTTCATTTTTCAGCTAGGGGCTGTCTTCATTTGAACACTCTTTCGCGACATTTACAGATTCCAAGTCAGAGGTACCTCCAGGCTTGACAGCTTCATGTTCCTTTTCAGGTGATGTGCTTTTTTATTGGGTGCACAAGATAAGTTTCTTTCGTGTCGGTAACCCCATCCCGGTGAATAATGTTTCCCCTGTAATCGTTTTCTCTTATTTTTTCGCTTTGTTGTGATTTCTTCCTTCAGGTGATTTCTTCATCCGTGTCAGTAATATTTAATTTTTTTTAGCCTAAAAAGGTGTACCTCTTTGTTGGTGATTAAACTCTTGCATGGTATATACCATGCTTCTTTTTTAATTGATTGACAGGAAGCCATGCATGCTCAATGAGGACAATACAATATGGGAGCGCGGGATTATAGGTGGAAGATTGATAACATAAAGGATGACAAGTGCAAGAATGCAAAATAGTTTAGACAACAATCACATTTTGATCACTACTAAGTTTAAGTTGTAACAATTATTATAAACTTTTTTTATATTTACCCTTGAGTGTAAAATTCCTAGCATGACTTATTAATTACTTGACATGACTTTTTGATTGCAAGATAGATCAAATGTAACATTTTAGAAAATTTAACTTAAAGTTAATTAGGGAATTAATGACAAATTAGATAATTGAGAATTAATTTGAATTAAAAGATAATATACGAACGGCTAATAGGTCTATCAGACCCTAATTAGGGCTTAGAATTACACCCTAGGTGGTATTGGGCCACATTTTGGCTCAATTAGATGAACAGTGTTGGGAATCTAAAATTTTAATTTTTGGCTCCAGCCAAATGTATATTGGCTGTAGCCAAAGTTTGATTTTTAAGCCTTCAGATTCATATTTCAACACAAGAAGTTAGAGAGTTAAGTGGGAATTTGAAGGTGAACGAAGAGGGCTTTGTTAGGGTTTGTTGTGGAAGTCCAATTGAGTCCATTTGAATCTTCTAATCACTTGGGTAATTGCCTACAACCACTTCTCTTCCTCTCTTGTGCATTTTCATCACTGTTCTTGAATAGCTCTTTAGGAATCAAAAATGGGTTGTAACTTTAACTAGAATTCTAACTTCAATGGGATTAATAGGTGTTTATTTAAATGTCTAACTTTTAGGTTATGATGCTATTGATGTTAGGTTTCAAAGTGGGGTTTGGAGTAAACCCTAGAGCTAATTAGTTGAGCTAAGAAGGTTATGAGTTATTAGTGATGTTAATTAGACTAATGAGAGTTTAAGTGAATTAATGGAACCAAAAAATGGATTTAGTTGTAGGTAGATGACTATAATGGGATTTTTGAGTTTAGTCTTTGATTAGAGTTAATTAAGCATAATTAGTCATTAATGACTATTGATTTGTTTGATTGTAGATTGACTATTGTTGATGCTATTAAACTTATTGGAGGTTCAGCTCGATATTCACAGGTCTCTTGGTTGGTAAACCAAGAGTTGAGATAATCAAGAATTTAATTATAGTATATCATTATATCTGCATTTATACTTTAAACACTATTATGGATGGCTTGAAATAAACAAAATGAGTTTATAGATGAATATTTTAATTTTGAACTACTACCCAAATATGAAACATGACTCACTGTGATGAAGTGCTTGGTGACTATGTTTATATAAATGTTATGTGGTATTTGAAATATAAATTGTGGGCCTGGATTGGCTATGATTTGATTACATGACGAGCTATTGTAAACTATAATGTGGTATGAACTATGATAAGCATGCAAGTTTTGGAAGTTTTAAGGATGATAAATTATTATAATATGCATGAGCTTAGATTTGTATATATTGATTGAACTTATATTATCATAATGGATGGTAGTTCACCTTAGCATAGTAGAGGGATTATGATAAAAAATTCACATGGTACAGCCTTCACTGTGTTTATGCACTGTGGTTGGCATACTTATTACTATATGTGCTTAGTATTACCAACAACCTACAGGTATGGCATGGGTTGGGCATGATGCTTAATATTATCGGTCCTGAATTAGATGGTATGAGTCAAGCACTTATGACGCCTTGAAATTCAAATAGGAAGAATCCATGGTTTGAGATTGAGTGTGTAAGCCTTTGATCAAGTGACCCTTCACAATTGGAGAGCAAGGATTGTAAAATCTCACTATACTAAACACAATTAACCACTATAGCTCATGGTAATCAAAGACTTAACTCTAAAAGGTGATCACCAAATTTTAGTTCAAATTCAAAGGATCCCAAGTTTTCTAAATAAAAATGAGTTTAAATCAATCAGAATCCTTTATATCAGAATAAAAATAAGTTATGAAAACATGGGAAACCTCGGAGGAGTGAAAGAAATTGAAAACAAGTGAAAAATGACTCTTATACTCTGTGATAGAGCAGTGCGCTACAGCTCGTGCACACTATGCCATAGCATATTGCTCTCTATGCCATGCACTGTGGCTTAGGCGCCATGCGCCATAACATGTTGCATGGAAATTCAATTGATTCTATTGTTATTTGACAGCAGAATCGAGAAAATTTCGACGTGCCTCGATTCTCCATCTGACGTTCGAATGACATGATTTAGGTGTTTACAAAAAGCTCTCTACATGAACCAACTAATGGCATAAGTTTTACTTTCAAAACGAGTCACACTAGAAAGTTGGACACTCAAATATATTTTAACCACTTTTCATAATTTTCACACAAAATGGATGTCCAAAACCCTCAACATGTGCCGAAAGCTTTTCCTAACACTTAGACCATGTTTATTGGGCCTAAGAGTACTAATACAACACGTCACACACACCAAAACATAAGCTTAGCATAATTTCACTCCTCAACCCCATTTTACCAAAAATAGAGGAGAAGGTAAATTGTCATTATTTTGCATCCAATTCAATCCAAACATGTTCAAATTATTATTTCTATATTTTCACTAGTATTTTGGCCCTGTAAACATATATATCTCCACATAATACAAATCAAACATTTTTATTAACAAAATAGTGTAAGTGAGATGGTATGCAATCTAAAATTGGCAAACATACACTATTACACAAAATAAACTAAGCTAGAGGCATACAAAAAGGAATATGCTAATTCCTAGCCTCTTGAGCCTTCTTTCTTTCAGTACCAGAGTTAGAGCCTGAAAAGTGTTAAATGAAAAGGGTGAGTCTAGCCACTCAATAACCAAGGTTAAACCAACCCTATGTAATTATATATTAATTATAAATCAAGTACATGCATAAGAAACCAAGTAAGTAAAATATGCTCACACATATCATAGCTTGTCATTTATCATTTAATAACTTCTTTATCTCACATATATTAGGTACATTGTCATCATATTCTTAGATATGTGATCATAACCCATTATTCACGCGACTTGCCACAACTTAACTCGTGTGATACGTTATATATTTACTTAGGCAATAATCAACTAACTTTATATCCTTCTTATTTTTTCAGACTAAAACCATGGGCTATAATACTGAATAGGGTTCCATTTGTGTGACTGGATTATCTAAGCTCACTAATCGTGAGGTGTAACCCGGCCAAAGATTACATGACTCACTCTCAAACCATAGCTTCTCCCATTCTTGAATCTCTGGGGTGTCTCATTCCTTAGGCTATTCTCCTTATTGAACCAGTAGAGATAGCTAGGTTCTAGTCTCTCGATAAACTATAGGATAGTCTATCTACAAACTATGGGACAAGGTTATACCCTTGTATACTGGAGAGCAGTCTAAATACCATATGAATTTTTTCTCTACTCCTAATCCCTAGATGAACTCCCGCCTACTAATCATGCCTTATGTGATACTCAATCATTTTTTATATTTTTATTTTCATTTACTCATTATCACAATAATCACGTTGGGTTCATGATTCAAACGCTACCCAAGTGAGTATCTAATAACATTTCATGACATTCTCCTCACTTATCATACTAATTCATTTCCTTTTTTTTAACATATATTCATCTCAACACAACAACACATTCATCTTCCCAAAGAGATATGCATGTTTATAGTTCAAAACCATCTTGATTTCACATTTTGCATTCTAAGCCAAAAATAGCATTATACACATTCAAAGTCTCATACACTTATTGCAGATAATACATGCTTTTACATTGAACTTCAATCCATACATACGACATTCACAATTCGTAATTAGAAATCAATTTAAAATCAATTAACATATAACTAACCAAAGTAAGATTCCTCTGGTTACCTCAAACCTTTGAAAGGTCAAATGTTTACCCCTTAGTACCAGAGCTTCCAAGCTTGAATTCCCAAGCTAAATAGATAACCAAGAGCTAAAAACTACAATCAATCAAGTTGAATTTCATTAACATTATCAACTTAAGCATTAAACCTGCAATCCTCTACTTCTAAATTGCCCACTATTTACTCTACATGATTTGGAGCCTATCCATTGGATTCATTATCTATATATAACATCATATAACTTTATTGAACAGCCACATTACCATTAATACCTCAACAACCACAATAATAACACATTTAATGTCCATTTTCAGACATTAATGGAGCCTATCATCCAATAACCACTAAAATTATTTATACTAGGTTTAAATACTCTAAAAAACTTATATTAACTTTATTTGAATTAATGGGTTTGAACCCATACCCTATATAGACTGAAATCACCATCCTCATCTAAACCTTAACTCAAATCCTTCAAAAAATAGAAGAGGAAAGGAGAAAAAGGGTTTAAGAATCTTACCTTAGATGATTTGGAGCTTCATGCCTTCTCAAATTCTCATCTAAGTCGTGCCCTAGCAGAGCAAATGTGAGCTCTTCCATTTTCCTTTTCTTTCTATTTTTTGCATTAGTTTGCGTCTAAATTCTATAGAATTCACAATGTGCATCGCGACGCTTATCCCTACACACCGCGGCATGTGGTACAGAGAAGGAAGTTCTCACTTGATAGCCCCGTGTGCTGTGGCGCATTCGGCATGTGGCACGAAAGCTGCTTAGCTTGTTTTTCTCCACTTTAGTCCTCAAGTGACCCAATTTCACTTTGGACCTAAATTATATCTAAAATTCTAACTAAAAACACTTATTATTCTCCTCTAACCACACACCACATCAACTTACTTAATTATCCTTATTAATCTTAGTGAATCAGGGAATTAAAAAAAATTAGGATGTTACAAGAATAATCTAGTCACATGGGCTAGACTTATATGAGATAATAGCCCATGGATTCAGTTAGATAATATAAGAAGTGGTAAAAAGTGGTTTCATTTGATCATGTGAAATACATTATAATGTTGCATTGTGAATAATATTGGTTTGCCTTATGTGTTATTAAACAATTAATTGTTATGATTGCCACACTTTAATATGCTTGATTAAATTACTTGGTTATTGAGATGTTTATCTCACTTTTGTAGTTTAATGTTTACATGCGAGGATCAAGCTAAGGGCAAAAGGGAGGCCTCTAAAACTAGAGACTGAATAGTCAATTATAATGTCTCTAGTTTTATCTTTTGTTTGAAGTCCACTTGCATTTGTAGCCTTAAACATTGAATTCTGTCATTTTTGGATTGTTTTGGCCATATTAGGGTCTAAACCCCTAATTTGACTATGGTAATATGCCAAGATAGTTTGACCAAGTATATTTTAACTAGTTAAATGATTTTTACATGTTTTGGGTTATTATTTAGTTTGAATGCAAATAATTGCATTTTCATCCCTTATTATGTGTCTTATAGTGGCTGGGTGGTCAATTCTTGTATCAGGAGTTGTTTGATACTTATGACTATTTGAAAAAGTGTATTAGGATTTATTGAGTATAGTTCAAGCCAAGCCCTTATGAGGGCTAATGGATTATGGTATGAGACTTGGACACTTGATTGATAGTTCTAGAGACAAAAAATATGAAATTATGGTCTCGGGTATTCAAATTCTTTCTGTGATGTCGAATTGACATGACACCAAAGCCATTAGTTAAAATATGAAATTGTTGATGTGTGTATGCTTGAGTCACCTTAATTAGAGATTCGAATCAAAAGTTATATACATTAAAAGTTCGTGATTAGTAGTTGTCATGACAATTGCTGTCATGACATCTTTGGTCGCAGATTATAGATTTTCAACTACAGTTAAAGGAGTTCTAGAGACCATTTAGCAGTAGCCAAATCTTCATTGGAAGTGTTAGCTATGGCTTAATTTCTCTTGCTGTAGCCAAGTATCTCTATTAATTGAAAATGACTCTTTTTACCTCATTTTGACTTATTTTTAACTCTAATTATTTTTCATAGTTCCCAAATACCTTTTTTACTTTGATTTATAATAGTTAAATGATATTTTATTTATGGGATCCCATTTCAATAGGGTTTTCTTACTTAGCCTTTTGAGTTCTTATATAGTCAAAATTAATCCTTTTATTTTCATAATATCTTTTACTATTAATTAAATTAGTTAGAATTATCATAGTAGCTTTATATTAAAATTAAGTATGTGTTAATAATGTGTTTAATTGGAGGTTTTACGCCAAACAGCTTGAGACAAAAGCTCGCTCCACCAATATGAAATTTGTATATAAAATGCTTTACCTACTCCCATTCAAAGTGGAACACCACCCTCATCGATAGAGTTTAGTTGTACAAAGTTTGCCTACACTTACACTGCAATAAAGCACAACTGCTCTATGTTTTTTATATCAGTGTAACCCAATTTACATTTTTTTGATTGGTTGGGAAATCAGCTCTTATGTACTTGTCCATATACACACACCCACACACACACACACACACACACACACACACACACATGTATATTTTAACGGGTTATAATTTTCTAAATGTGTCAAATATGTAAGCTCCTTTGCACATTTCAATTGATGTTTGATTTTATCATGATACATTTTGACATGTTACAAGTACCGGCATGTAAAGGTTTGATAACGTACTTGTCTTTGAATAAATATAAATTCCTTAACTTTAATTATAAATTGTGAAATCTTATCATAAAATTTCCTTACGTTACCTATTAATATTGGAATATTACTTGTGTAATATTCACCTGATGGTAAACCATTCATGACTTGTTAAATTACTAACATTACTTGTAAAATGTCTAATATTATTTGTAAATTGCCTTATATTGCTTGTCAAGTCTGTAATATTACTTGTCAAATATTTAACCTATGTAAATTTATACATGACTTGTTAAATTGCTAATTTCTCAAGCAAAATGTCTCATAAAGTCTAGTAATGTACTTGTCTTTCAAATTAGTATAAAATCCTTTAGGTAGTGTTTGGATTAATAAATTTGGATTTAAAATCTCAAATTTAAAATCCATGTATTTCAAATTCATATGTACAAGTAAATTTGAATTCATAAGATTTAAGTTCCCAAATAAGAAATTTGGCCCAAATTCAAATGTAAATTCATATATATCCAAACATAAACTTATAAATTGTAAAATTTTACTCGTAAATTCTCTTACGTTACTTGTTAAGATTAGAATATTACTTATACAATGCATTATTCATCCTAAATAAAATCATCCATGACTTATTAAATTATAACATTATTTGTAGAATATTCAATATTACTTGTAAATTCTCTTATGTTGCTTATCAAATTTGTAATATTACTTGCAAATATGATTTCTCTCCTATACTATTTACTTTTGTTTAGACACTAGGGGTACTAACATCATTTCACTGTGCAAATTAATTTCATGTTGGTCTTCAAAACTTGCAATGTTATTTCAAAAATATTTGGGTGATTGAAAAATATGTACTTACCGTAATCTTGGAATGAAATTCTCCCACGAATTTACCCTCTTTCGTTTTCCATGGAATGGTTTCACTCTACACTCAACAGGTAAATGGTGGTGCAGAGCAGTAGGCAACACTGGACACCAAATACCAGTTAAACATTATAGTAGCACAAACTCGAACTGTAGTATTGCAAGATAGATTACGCACATAGAAATCTCAAAACGGACAAATTGCTCGCGGTAATTTTCCCCCTCGTATAAAATTAATGTTTACCCCAAAAGCCATAAAAAGTTACTTGTATTCCAAAACAGCTCATCATTCTTTTCACCAAATTTCAGATTTGCTCCATTCATCTTTTGCACATATTGCACAGACACAATAATATATCACCAACAATCAAGATTAGCTAATTACAATTATAAAATAAAGAATGAGGAAGAGAGGCCTCCCCCAAAATTTGCAACCTTCAAGAAGTTAAACCGAGGAATTCACAAACTGACAACCCTACAAAAAATTTGGTAGCTGAGAATCCAATCTTCGCTGCAATTCCTTAATCTTCAGAGAAAGTTCCTCCTTATGTTCCTTGTAGCTCTGGAGCAAGTATTCTTTTCCTTCTATTACCTCTTTCAACTCTCCTACTTGCCTCCTCAGCATCTCTATTCTCTCTTCATCATCCCTTTCTTTTTCAGGGAGCTCCGAATTATTATCCCCATCAGTAAGTCCATTTGCATGGCCGTTTCTGTTAGCTGGAGTGGTTGAAGATTTTTCATTGGAAGCATGCCCAACACAATGATCTGAAATTGCTCTTCTCAGCTGTTGAATCTCCCTCTCAGAGTCAAACAAATCCCTGTTTGCAGCATCAAGCTGCAATTGTAAATGAGACGAAAGTCCCAGCTGAGCATTCAGTGAACTTTGCAATTCAGCTATTTGATCTTGCATCTCCAGTATCATATCATCTCTTCTCTTCAATTGCTGCCGCAGCTTCTGTATAACTTCCCGCTTGCTAAAGATATCATACCCAGACTCTGACACACAGGGTGAATCAGAGCAGTTTGAATGATGGAATGACTTTGAAGGCAATTCAAGCTGATCAGGGGAGGAAGCCCAAAGAACACCATTCTCCTTGCTAAATTCCGCACGAGGAACAGTAACCAAAGGGAGGGCCCCATCAGATTCCCTCAGCAACTGACCATTTGACTGGCACTTTGGTTCTGTTGCACCTCCAGTTCCTGTAAGAAACATCAACACATAAACAAAGAAAATTCTCTGTTAGATGCAACGACTAACAGATAAACAAGTTTCTAAAGTTAGGGACGGGTGAAGCTATCCTATTAAAAAGAACCATATCAAAAAACGATGCCCAAAGTAACCCACAAGGAATTAATTTCATCAACTATGAGTACCAATTAATTGTGAAGTGATTTATATACAAAGTTAATTATCTTTTCCCAGAAAGCAGTCAAAGTCAAATGGGGACCATCAACTGAAAAGTAATTCAGATCAAGCTAATCCGCAGCAAGCATCCTGTGACTCTCTTCTTTTTAACCAAAATAAATCATATCTGCAGATGCTCAATACAGAACTTGACCACCATAATTGCAGTTACTCTAGAACGACCTTGCATCAGTCCAAGTAAACTCCTGTTCGTTTAACTTGCACTTTGCCAACTGACCATGAAGTTGCCTACTCTTTATGGAAAAATAATCAGTAAGGTGCGATAAGTTGAGCTATAGTTAGATTCATAATGTCTAGATCGTCTTCTTGATTAGAACATTTCTTCATCCCCACTTCCCCCACCATCACAAATCAAATCTGCACATCACTTCCTACATCTCCAACGATAAGTGGAATTCTTGTAAATTACTTATACTTGTTTTCAAGTTAACAGTGATGCATGCAATGGCATCAAATGATGTACAAGAATCAGAAGCAGAGATAGATGATAGAAAAGTACATAGAAAAGTACAAGAACAAAACAAAAAGGAAAGAAGATCCAAGAGGTGTCTGAAACATTTTACAAATCTTAGGAGTGCAGACATGGTAGGGTAACAGGTAATTCAATCGGATCAGAATTCCATAGAACTTAATATGGAAAAGGTATACAAAGTAGGTGTAAACACGAGAGAAGCTAGAGACAGACAGTGAGATGGACAAAAAATTGCTCTGGCACTCTTCTAAGTCTTACTATATGACAAGACCTAATATAATAGTTTGCAGGGAATTTTTTTATAGACCTGAAACATAATTCAAAAATCATAGCAATTTACTGAACAAGGAAACAATTTTTGGATGACAAAAGGAAAAAAGTGGGAAACGGAGAGTTTACTAGGAAAACATTCTGCAAAGGTTGAAACTACAAAAGCAAACACAAAGGACCAAGTTAAACCTGAGATGCAGCTGAAGCAACCATTATTATCTTGTGCCAGGGAATATCCATTGGACTGAGAATCACTAGCTGCGGGTTCCCTTGTACCAGAGGATTTTCCAGTTCCTGATTTTTCAAAAGAAAAATAAAGTTACAATCCGACATGTACAATAAAAGTCACTACAGAGATACCAATCAAGCTGAGGAAGATGTTGGAAAATTACTAGCACTTTCAAGCTGCTTTGAGTCAAGTGCCTGCTTCAGCTTGTAACCAAGGCGGAATGATAATGTGCTCAACAAAGCACCAGCAGCAATAAGAAGCCAATTGGGCCCTTCACCTTGAAACTTGCTTTCCTTTTGAACTCTAGGCACCTCATTGGTTATCGGTCTCATTTTAAGAGCTAAAGAACAGAATATAATATTCTCACTTATTCAGGAACAACCTACAAAAATAGCCAGCAACATTTGACTACTACTATATGAGTTACACTTTAGATAATCATGCCAAACAAATTAACAGAAGTTCTTAGTAGGTTGTTCTTAGTAAATGTTAACGAATCTTCAACTGTGTGATGAAAAAGATACACATAAAATGAAAACCAAACCACCCATTATTGTATGAACTAAAAGACGAACTATGCAAAAATCTATAAGCTTTTGCACAGGAAAAACATGAAATCAAAATAGTGGACTCAAGTGTCAAAGCATAAAAAGTGAAGATATTGTAGAATAATAATATAGAACTATTGATATTTATGATAAATTATAATATTTATGATCAGAAAACTAATGACACCTTTGGAAGTATAATGGATGTGTTATCAATTGAAGGGATGGCCTGCTGGCATTATTTAAATAGTCCATCCCCCAACTCGTTCACAAATTGCTAACTAGAACTTTAAAGAAAATGGAAACCAGTTTAGTGAACAATGGTACAATTTCCAGCCGCTTAACATATAAAAAGCTACAACAATCTTTCTATCAATTTTCTTTCTGTTATGTTTTATATGTCCTTAATCTTCATAACACGCTTTAAAATTGGTACTGTCAACCTTATTCAAAGGGAAAAACACAAAAAGAATCCCCATATAATCGCCCATCAAAGATGTCGAGTACTTGCTTCCATTAAATCCTTACTTCCTTTTATCTCATCTTCTACCATGAAGAAAATATCACCAAATTGGTTCAACCAATGTGGCTTCCTGAAGAATAATCACTCACAGGAAAAGAGTAAAATACAGAGGAGAAAAGAAATAAAAATCCAGGAGAGAGGGAAAACCCGAAAGAATCGAAGGTTCATCGCGTTCAACCATGAAAACCTGTGGGGGGAGGAAGAAAATTGATGCCGTGAGTGAATAGGAAGGGATTTTGTGAATTGAGAGTTGAGGTACTGACTGAAGAGAACAGCGGCTCCAGAGAGCCGACGGAAAGCTCGGAGTGGAAGACCTGTAGCTAACCACAGAACCAAGAAACATTTCGCCTTTACCAGAAAGAAAGGGAGAATGACAAACAAGGACCCTCAAAAAATATCAAGGCCCTTCACAGCTGAAACATCAAGAAATTATAATTGAAATATCAGAATTTACAATCCAAAAATCCTTATTTAACATTAATTTTTTTATAGAGTTTTTATTTGTTATTTCTATAAAAGGAAGTGGGGTTATATTGTACTCCTTTTCTTGTGAAAATGAAAAAAAAAACATTACAATATGTAATTGACAATATAATATCCTGAAATGTAATAATTATTATTTAGTTTTTTTTGACTGAATAATTATTATTTAGTTATAAAAAATTTATTGAGTACTTTGATTTTTAACAAAATAATACTCCCTCCGTTCAAAAATGTAAGATATTTTTTAAAAAGTTAGATATTAAAAAATATAAGGCATTTTTAGTCTTTCGAGATATAGTCATTGTCTTTTCTTCAAAAGTGTCCCTATTGATAATGACTTTATATTTATTGCATGGTGTTTAATAGGGATAAATATAAAAAAATAATATTAGTTGACAAGTAGGTAACTACTTTATTAGTGGTAAAATTTAATTAAAAATATCTTATATTTTTTAATAGAGGGAGTATATTTGTTCTCAATTACTTTTATGTATGAAATTACTGTTTTAATTGGGCAAATATGTCATATAGTCAAAAATTAAAATGCCAAACAAGTCTTCAAAAACTAAATAATGATTATCATATTTTGCAATTATTTATATAATTCAAGAATATTTTTTATTATTTTATTATTTCAAGAATACTTAATTTTTGACTGAGCATATTCAAGAAAAAATTCTCAAATGTATACCTTTCACAAATTATATAGTTCTTATTGCAGAAATAAAAGAAGATATCTGTTTGAGTAGGAATGAGACAAAATATTTACATCATAATTTTTATAAAAGGTCAGTCAATAATAACTTAGAAGTAAAATTGAAAGATCAAATTATACTTCAAGTAAAAAAGTTTATACATTTGGGAGCTATTATTCAACATGATGAGAAAATTGATGGGGATACTGCACATATGATACAAGTTGAGAATTTAATTGGAGAAAAGTTAAAGGAGTTATTTGCGATCTTAATGTATCTAATAAACTTAAAAGAAAGATTTTATTGAACTGCTATAACACCATCAATGTTATATGATAGTGAATATTGGCTTTAAGGAGACATTAAGAGCATAAAGTTGGAGTACCAGAAATAAAAATGTTGAGATGGATGTGTGGACTTAAATGTAAAGATAAAATCTAAAATGAGTACATACGAAAAAAGTAGGTGGAGCACCTATTGAGAGGGAAATAGTAGAAAATTATTTGAGATGATTTAAACATATACAAAGAAGACTGTGAGACGCACTCGTGAGGAGAGTAAAACAAATAACTTTGAGTTCTGTTAAAGTATTAAAGGAAGGCCAAAGACAACACTTTTGAAAATTATTAATCGAGACTTTTTAATTAACAACATTTTTAAAATATTGATAAATGATAGAATACAATAGTATCATATAATATATATAGCCAACCCTATTTAGTGGGTAAGGCCTGTTGTTGTTGTTCCTTTTTTTCCTACCTAGTTAGAAGTATGGCATTAAGGCCCTATAAATGATTAAAATTCAATTAGGTCATTAAATTATAGTAAAAGACCTCTGAAATGATTTAGTATTTGACAAAGACTTTTAAAAAATAAATATTAATAATTAACAAATAAAGTTCAAGTTTTAACAAGTAATCTATCTATCCAAGTCCTTGTAAGATATTAAATCATTCAAGCAATCCTTCATTATTATTCTCCCTTAATCCATCTTTCCCCATTTAGGCTACCACCATCAAAGTCATTGTAGTCAACCACCAAAAATCTGTTGTTAATGTTAGATTCATGCAAGAGGCCATTATAAGCAAAGCTTTGACAACCATCACTACTAGGTTTTGAAAGGGAGGGGAGGGAAAGAAAGGAAAGGAATTTTGAAGAAATTTTTTCTCTCCTTATTTGGATGGGAAAATAGAAAGAAGGAGCTCTCGTTCCCTTATTTGGAAAAAAAACATAATGAAAAAGGAAGAGCTCTCCTTTTCCCTTTTAACTCTACCCTTCTATAATATCCTTTGTAACATTACCATAACATATCACACAAAACATTCTAACATGGTAATTAGAATTAGACAAATTCCTAGCTTATATTACCACATTAATAAAGGGTTAAATTTAAAACATATTTATAAAAACATTCATAAAGTTTGAGATCTCAAAAAACCCTTTTTGAAAGTTGTTTAAGCTCAGACATATAAAAAAAAGTGTAATACATCACAAAAGTATGGCAAACAAGTAAGCAAGATTAAAATAGCTAAATAGGGGTAGACTAAGCATTTCACCCATTTTGGATTGTCCATCATGGCATATGTGTCATTCACCATGGTGGATGACACAAAAGAGTTAGCCTCCTAGCTACAACATGTGCTGTGATGTTAACACCATACATTGCTTTGAATTATACAGTTATGATAACATAGCAGAACCAACTTCTAGTGCATACTGTTTTGTTGTCCGATGTTCAATCTAAGCAATTCAAGTATCTATATATAGCTAATTGAGCTACCTAGCTAATGGCCTTAGTTTCATAACAAAAATAATACACCATTTAAGAGTTCGATACATGGAAACAACATAACCACTTTTTCTTTCAAATCAAGCCTGAAGGTATACAAAACATTAACCAAGTGCCAAAAGTCCAAACAGTACTTGAACCATATCATAAGAACCAAAATTCACCACATGATAAGTTAAACAAATAAATCGAACATAATTTGGCCGTCCAAAACCTACATTGTAACATCTAGGAAAATTTAACTCCGATTTATTAACCTGATGAGGGTAATTAGTGAGTTAATGAGGTGTGTCACTAGAGGGACTTAACTTGGCATAATTGTTGTGATTTCAGCCTATAAGTGGGTCCGGATCAATGATGAGCCACCCGGGTAAGGAAAGAGGAGGAAAAAGTGAAGAATTGTTCTCTGTGCCACACGCTGCGACATATGGTTGGTCCACTGCAGCTCACAAAGACAAATTTAAATAAACAAGCTCTTTTGTCTCATGCTTCACAGTAGATGGTGGCGTGCGTCATAGTGCATGGCCAAAATTTTGATATATCAGTTACGTTCTGCGTGTGAAAATAAAAGAAGAGGAGGAGAGAAAAATGAAGAGCTCGACTTAGGCTCTGTTAGGGCATGATATTGGCTTCTATTGTTGGCGTTTTGAAGTTTTCAAGCACCCAAGGTACGTTTATGGTGCCTTATTCTTCCTTTCTCTCCCTCATTTATGATAATTTATGGTAGGGTTTGACTTAGGGGATAGATTTTTGTTCCATAAGAGTATGGGTTTGATTCCATTCGTTAAATATGGGTTCGATTCCATTCGTTAAAATTAGTATAATGGGAGTTGTTTAATATATTGAAACACCACATTGATGAGCATTTATTATCCAAAAATTATCATAAATATGGTAGTTAGGAGAGGTTTAAGTGCATTAATGATGATTTGAGGTGTTGTTAATGATAATGTACATTAATGAAATTTAATGAGCCTATTGGGTATGAATGGCTAGTAATTATGAGTTGATAAAAATAAAGTGTGTGGAGTTATATGTTAATAAAGCTTCAAGAGTTAGACAATAATGAAATTCTTGTAGTATGGATCTAAAGAGGTTCGTTTTTGGCACCATTCATGCTTGTTGAAGCTTTGGGAAGTTGGTATAATGAGGGATAAACCTTTGACCTCTTAAAGGTTTAAGGTAATTAGGGAAAACTTGATCTTTATAGTTGAATGTTAATTATGTTTGTGAAATGTAAATTATGATATAATTTGCTGATGCATTTTGGCATTATGAAATGGTTTTTGAAAAGAAAACCTTGATTTTGCCACCCTTGGTATTTTATAAAATTGATTATGATTTATTACTATAGGTGGAGAATTGTGATATATTATGTATTGAATTGTGGAGTATTGAGTTATGAATTGATTGTTAAAATGCATATTATGTGAGAAATGTGTATAACATGAACATTGGCAGGAGGTTGCCTAGGGAGAGGAGTAGATTGGTTGAAATCCACATGATATTAACAGTGACCATTAGAATTGGGAACTAGCTTTGGCATCGACCGTTGGAATCGGGAAGTAGCCTTTATCCCATAATTAATTCGAGACTATCCCACTTGTTCTATGAGAGACTTGAACCTAACTAGTCTCCATCGGTTTATAAGGAGGCTAAATTAGGGGTACAACACTCTATGGTTGTTAGTATTAGGGAAAACTAAATTACATAAGTGAGTAAGTTCACCTTGGCCCAGTAGCTTCTCACAAGTAAAAGGCTGGGTTAGTCCATGAAGGACATAGCCACATGATATCCACCGATTTCATGTCAGAAGTAATAGGAGGATATAAGGTTGGCATATGATCATACATATAAGTCCGGCTATATAGTTGTTAGTTTTGTGGTCTGTCATGTGTTGAGGGTGCATGGTTATTATTTTTGTAACCCTATATTATGTTTTTGTTGAATTAAGATGATAAAGTGTTTTGTGGCAAGCCTGGTCACATGATCGTTAGTTTTGTCAACTGTGGATGAGTGTTATGTGTTATTTGTGCTTATTTGCCTAATTGCATCTATTTACAATTGATATGCAACTGTATGGGTTAAGTGAAACTTGGTTACTGAGTGGTTGTACTCATCCCTCAATTTTCAATATTTTTAAAACCTAGCTCATCAAATTCAAGTCGAGGAAAACATACAAAGGCCTAGGATTGTAGAGTAATCCTCTATATGCCTCTCTTTTGTTACTTTCATGTGTATTTGTTAATGTAATTGCCAACTAGAATTGTTTGACATAATTTATGTACTGCTTGCATGATTTTATATATAACTAGTGTATTTTGTACCCTATATTAGTGAGTTTTAGTTGTGAACCTATGGATAGGGCCAAAATACTTGT